ATTGAGTGATTGCTGTTGTTGCAGGTAATTGCCGGTCCATCTAATATGCACTTGGCCCGGTAGTCAGTCATTCTGTCAGCCAGTCAGTCAGTCCAGTCGGTACCCGGTCCCCAGTCCAGTCAATCACTCCCGGGCCCCCTGGTTATTCAAATTCATATTTATATTCATTAGAAACGAACTCAAGCCAAATGGAATGCCAGAGAAATGGGGGGGAAATATTTTATATATATAAAAAAAATATATATATAAATTCAATTAGTATTAGCATTTTTAAAACATTCTCATTTCGAGAGAGAGCCATAAATTAGCATAAATTCTATTTGGCATTTAAATTGTTTATTACATTGTCGGCGGGGAGCGGCACTTGACTGGCAGTTAACACGTGTTGTAATCTCAATTATCCAGGCTGAACGCCCTAAGGGGCGTGTAAAGTTTACCCTAGAAGGGTTTTACATACATGCATCTATATTATATATATATATAAATAGCATTTAACGGAGAAGTTGGTAGGTGGCTCCATCAAATTCCAGCACACCTGACATTTGATTCCATTAAAAATAAATCACTTCACTTGCTGCATATTGATGTTATTGAATTTTAGTTTGTCTAGCAATTTGTGAAAACGAATTCTGGTCAGGGTTTCAATGTTCCAGTTTTTCTCATTTTGGCATGCAAATTTGCGAGCGTTGCGTATACGCAGCGTGTTCTCACCATATATACACTTTTGTATATTTCTTTATGGCCAAGCTTATAAACTGCAAGTCAGAAAGTCAGATACACACGCATATGCATTTTTGGTGCGTGGTCTTTGTAATTGAAAACAGAAAGGCTAAAAAGGAAAAACCAAATTGAAAAATGCTTTTCAAGCGGCGCTTTTGAAGCAGCAGCGACCTTGTGCCGCCCCTCCTCCCTCGAATGTTCCTTTCTGGACTCCCTAGTTCACTTTTTGCAGCATCATGCCAACTAATTTTCCAAATGACGCAAGTTAATTGCGACGGGCTCAGCCTTTGTCAAAGGTGAAAAATGCCCGGGCCAGACTGGAAGGGGAGAGGGAAAAGCAAGAGGAAAAGGAAAAGAGGGGCGAAAAGAATGGCTACAGGGTAGCAAAGGGGCAGACACAAAGCCCAGGCACATTCATTAAGCCAAATCATATTAAGTAAATATGTCGAGCAGCCGAAGGAGGTAAGAACACTGACAGAAAAGGTTGAAGGCTTCTTTGTTAAGCTCCATTTAAATTCTAAATAAAACATTTAACGGTTAGTTAACCCGAAGATGCTTTTTGAGGTGGTTCCATCCGACGTCTGCTAAAGTATATTGGAAAGCTTCTTCATTAGCCTCTCTTAGAAGTCAATGTAAAATTCTCGAACTAAGTTTTCTATTATAAAATGAAATCTTTATATAAATTTTAACGGTTAGCTAACCCGAAGATGCTTAAAAGTGCCTTAGAAAATCTGTTAAAATGACAATCTGATATTATTAGGCAAATTATTCTTTCTCTGTGAAATTTCTCCGGGTGTACGATCTATGGGGCGCCTGTCACGGCTACCGCTGGCCACTCCCTGCCTTCAAGATCCCAGATCTCTGGCGCCTTCTTCTACAGCGCGAGTGGAGAAAGAGGCCGGAGAACCACAAACAAATTAGTCAATGACGCGGCGATCTTAGCTTCCCCAGAGTATTTTCATTAATATTTTATTGCTTAATTCCTTTTGTTATGCTGATTATGCCGACGCAGAGAGCGCTGAACACTGAAACACACTGAAACTGAACAAATGAGGCTGCTGTTCATGGGAAAACGGCGCGGATCGTTGCATGATTTTCAATAATTTAACAGCGGCTTTCAATATAATCCCTTCGCGGAGCTGAGCTTTTCTGTGATCTGCTAGCCACACGGCTGTCTCTTTGTTTCCCGGCACAAATGTTAATTTCAGTTTGTCTCGGTAATTTATCATCTTTCTTCTGCGCCCGTTCTTCCTTTTTTTGTTGCCTTGCTTTCTGTGATGTCTTTAAACGCTTTTAATTAAAACCAATGCGCATGTGTAACTTTCTTAAGCAGGCCCCAAAGAGTTGGCTCAAAGTATATATATATATATAAATATTTTTTGTCTAGTCGCAGCCGTTGCTTTGAACTTGGCCGACAGGCGCGTTTGTTAAATGATTGATGTGGTATTAATTTTAATAAACGTTTCTCGTTCCTCTCTTCTCCATCAATATGCAGATCCGAAAGACCGAACACTGAAGACTGGAGACCAGGGGCCAGTTTATATGGGAGCCGCAGCTCGTTCGTTTCGTTCTGCGGTTCTTGCTTCTTGGCAAATACATTTTTTATGGGCACACGCAGTTGCGTGGCGTCTGCACTTTGGTTGGAAAAAGTGAAAAATAAAACAACAAAAAAAGTATAGACGTGGAAAAAGGGGGCGGGGCCGGGTGGCCAGGGCCAGCAGATTGCCATTGCTGACTCTATTAAAAGTGTCATGCGATTCAGGCAAAAATCGGAAAATTTCCTTAGTTCCATTTGCCACATAATAACTTTTAGTTGATTGATTTAAATTAGTTGTGGAGCTTTAAAGGGTTTTTAAATTATGCAAATAAATTACCATTTTTTGGGTGAATTTTAATAAATATTTTAAGGATTTTGAAAATCATTTAAATAATTTTAAATTTAGTTTATTTCAACATTTTTTTATATTTTACAAATAGACTTCCCAGACTCTTAGAATATTTTTATGAAACTATATTTTATACTAACTTTTAGTTAATGGATTTAATTTAGTTGTGGAATTTTAAAGGCTTTTTTTAAATTATGCAAATAAATTAATTTTTTTTGGCAACATTAATATGAACTTAAACTCTTTAAGTATTTTTTATGGATTAATAAACAACATTTACAAATATTTTTACCTACATTCAGGATATTTTTTATAATGACCTTTGGCATTGAAACTAGTTATAAATTTAGCGGACTAATAACAGAGTTATTAGGGAGTCTTGCGAAATATCAATCAACTAACTGATCTAGCCGACCTGACCTTTTCATTTTTACCGAATTACAGGGTTTCGAACTAATATTATGTGTTTGCATAATCTGCTAATTGAAAACCGAATTGAAATCGAGAGCAAAAGCAAAAGCCCGGAGGAGCCGCATATGAGCCATATAGGCGATATAGATACAAAGCGATCATTAGCGGAAATCTGTCTTAGTTTTTTCGGTTCAGATCAAAGGCCGGACGAGATTGATGAGCGAATTTTTCGGGGTTTTGAAACGGGGCCAGAAGATCATTATGAACGACGGCTGATGCGTTTTAGCCTTTAAGTGTTTGCTTCCGCCGAGCCGAGAAGTCAAGAAGTCAGCGTGGAAATACGATCTCTAGATCTCTAGAGATTTGCCAATAACAAAAAAAAAGAGGGAAAAATAAAGTAGGCACAGGAATGATTCCATCGTTAGCTTCACACCTCAAGTGAGCCTGAATAATTGATTTTGAAACCGAGAAACGGCGGCGCCTACCTGGCATATCTATGGTATCTCTAGGTATCTGAGTATCTGTATCTGTATCTGTGGCTCTAACCGTGAAATCCGTTGGCACACAGAAACAAAAAATCGGGGCTGAACAAGCCGCATCCAATCGATTTGTATCCCGTTCCCTGGCATTAGATACTCCCGATGAGTTCCAATGAGTTCCAATCATCATCATTGCCTCACAAAAGGGATTCCAGCTGAGCGGCTGACAAAAGGTGTGCGCTACTGTCAATTCCTCGGATGCGGATGCGAATTTGAATTTCAAACTGAATGTTTATGGCTGTTTATTGTCAATCCAAATGACGTGTAAGTGGTTGATTTGTTTGGCAATTGGAAAAGTAACCGCCAAATAAATGGTGGAGAAACATCATCTATGAGATACGTTCCATAAAACAACTTGACTTCGCCACGCTCATTCACAGTCTACAAATGCGAATGATTTATGCTGCACTGCACGAGTATCTGTGGGATGCATTCATCAAATCATGACTAACTCGAAAAATGCCCGCCAGCCACTTTTGTCCGCAATGAGCTCACATATGTGTATCCACAAGATACGAGATGCGAGATACTCGGGGCGATATTCTACATAGAGATCTTTGAAATGTTTGGCCAAGCGAATAGTGGGTGTTTTTCGAGATACTTGTGGGTTAGTTGCCACCGTTTTGGCTGCTTAAAACATGAATTCTTATTGGGCAGTAAGTGAATGGTTTTAAAGTATATTTATCAGCTGAAGTTGAGCTATTTTAACTACTGATATATAAGATATTTTTAATTTATTGCCAGATTGTTCAAATATAATTGAGTTGATTTAAATGTATTTTTTTAACCAGCTTAGAAATCCTTAGACATTGTTCCCCAAAATAAAATATATATATAAGTTATAAGGTTTGAGTCAATAAAAGAAACAATTCGATGCATTCAGAAATCAATTCAATAGATAAATGGAAATTGTTGTACAAGATAGATATTTTTTCTTTTTTCAGGATTGATGTAAATTGTACTTGATTAGATGGTTTTTAAAATGATGGTAGATATACCTTATAGATAATTCGTATAGATAATATTGTATTTTTGAACCTTGACTATTGTATCTAAGAATTATATATGTTCTGATCTTCATTTTTTTAATTAGATGTACATAAACTTCTTCTAATATGTTCTTGTATTTTCTGTTCTTATTGATATTATTTCATAAGATGAATTCCTATTGTCTTTTGTTTTCTCTACCCAAATACTATGTATCTACATTTTATATGCTCTTAAATTTTCTAGTAGATATTACTTTTTCATAAGAGACTATATCATATATCATATATATTGAAAACTCCCAACTTCATAAGGCTAATGTAGATAAGATATCATTGGATTGCCGGGCAATTGTGTGCATAATTGCCAACTCAGAGGCACTTCGATGGGAGAGCCCATCTAAAGTGAACCATCTGGGATGGCAGATACGTATCTGTAAGATTCTTTTTCGGCTTACCGGATTAACTTGTGGCTTCTGCAAGTGTGTGGCGATATTGGTGATGTTCATGCCCATGGCCGGGATCTGGGATCCGTAGAGCTGACCGGCGGTCGGTGTCATGTCCGTTAGCATGTTTGTGGCGATCGCTGTTGCTGTTGCTGCTGCAGTTGCAGTTGCAGTTGCAGTTGTCGTCGCTGCTGCTGCTGCCGCTGTCAATTTGAGGCGCACAATGATGGTGTCTTTTTGCAGCCACTTGGGTTTTCTCACACAATAGGGTTTTAGAGTTCGGTTTCTTTTTCTTTGTTGTTTTCTTTTTGTTTTGTTGTTATTGTCGCAGCAGAGGCTCACTGGTTTTTACTGGAGTGTAAAGGGAAGAAGAGACATAAAGGACATGGACATGGATATTTTCGTGGATGGGCAAGCACAGCACTCGGCACAAGCACACACGCACTCGGAAAAAAAAGAGGCAAAATGGGCAGGAAATCGCGAAAGGATTAGCCCAGATAATATCCGTGTATCTGTGATCTGTAATCTGTATTCTGTATCTTTTCTCGAGTCCGTCGGCTTTGCACTTCTTTTTTCTCTCCACTCGGCCGTCGGCTGATGTTTTTGCTCCCAAGAGTTTAAAGTCACTGGATTTTCGGCTTATATTATATTTAATTATTTTTATAGATTTTTGTTCTATAATATAGTATTTTTTTTTTGTAAAAAACACAGGCAAAAAAAGAAATGTAAGCGATGAAATTAATAGGAATATCGAACCAAAAAATGCACAGTTGTTTTCGTTTAGCTTGGCTGCTTGTTTATGTTTATGGTTTATGCTTTGTTTGTTTATTGTTGTTTATAGATGTTTTTTTGTTTGTTGTTTTGTTGTTGTTGTTTGTTTGGTGACAGGAGGCGCCTGCCAACGAAAAAAAAGTGTCGCTGCTTGTATCCGCGCCAAAAGTAACGCCGTCGTCGCTGATCGTTCAAAGGCTTGCAACTGTTTCACGCGAACAAAAAGCTTGGCTAAATGTCGCCGCTGCCTCGGCCGCTGCCCGCGTCGCTGCCTGCGTCGACGTCGCAGCGGCGCTCTCACACACGCAGTATACTTCGGGGGGCAGCTCCCATTTGAAACGAGGCAGCGCGAAAGAGACGGTGGTACAGACAAACCACCACTTCTGTGGCGTTGGTGGTGCGAATGGGTGCCAGGGGTTTATGCTCGATATATTCGGTGGTGCGCCTTTACCCATCGGTAGTTTCATTCATAAAAACCCCGGCGAAACCAGTTCCCAGAGCTCAGCCCCCTCTCTGTAGGAAAATCGCTTTGGCCAATGGCAGCGCGGCCGGGCCTAACCTATAATTAGAGCGATGGCCGCTGTGCGAGCGAGACGGCTAGGCGCGCAGACACGTGCCCCTCGCGCCGTCTCTTTCGCGGTCTCTTTTCCTGCGGCGCCCCGTCTCTCTCTCTCTCTCTGTCTTATCGCGTGCCTGCGTGGAAAACTAAAAACAAATGCTGCCTCTATGTTCAATTAAATGTTCGCCAATGTTGTTTTCCAAGAACTGGCTAGCTAAAAAACAAAAAAAAAATAAAGAGAAAAATACGAAAAATACGAAAGAAAAACAAAAAGGGTATATGGAATATAGAAATCCACGCAAAATGACAAATTGTTTTCCATTTCGACTTTTGCTGGCTTATCGGGCGCAGTTATCGGGTTTTTGGGGGGAAGTGGTCGTGTTTTTACCCCGAAAACAACCGAATTAAGGGAAAGCAAATTTTGTGGTCAGCTTTACAGGGAAAATACCCCAGAAACTTGATTTCCACAAGCTTTACTCCCAAAAGTAGACTACCTTTGCACAGGGCGACTTTAAGAGGTCCTAACTTGACCGAAATATATCAAATATGATCAAAGAATCTAAGAATTCAAATAGCTTTTTTTCAGGTTTATAAAATAATTATTAGAAATTGTTGAACAAACATAATTATTATTATATTGAGCAAAATTTCTAGACTATTGTTTATTAGATTTCAATTTAGATTTATCATCCCAGCTTAATAATTAAAAGATCACGTAAAATACTTATTCAAACTAAGCCTAAAGAAAATCTAAACCGAAGTGCAGACAACTTGAAAAACTATTAATCATTTTTGTTGGCCGGCAGAAGAATATTAAAATCATGTTAAACGGTAAAACACAAAACTCTTTTTATTATTTTCTCTTAACTATCTATTTATTTTCTCACCTTGAGAATGAGTAGATTTTGGAAAATCCCTAGAAGAAGTCGCTCCACTGAATCGTGATTTCGTGGGCCAAATCCAGATTAACCCGTGCCATTTGGGCCTCCCACAGCTGGAAGCTGTTGCATTTTTGGGCTGCAGCTGAGAAGCGGGCTAATTGAACCACACCCCCCGTACCGCCCCCCGCCCCTCCCAGCCACTCCCCTCCCCTCCCCACCCCTCGCCACCTCTGGCCGCCTTATGCAAACAAAACGCCCAGACAGCCGAAAAACGACAGCCCCTGAAAAGCTGAAAAGTCCAACAACTACGGACTGTCGATGGAGGTGGATGATGTGAACGTGGATGTGGAAGTGTGCCCAACACAAGTCGCCTGGCCGCGGGAAATTCTCTGCACAGCGGGAAAATTAAGAAGCCATTTAGCAAGCCGAAGAAATAAAGGTGTCTTAACAATGCGAAATAATGGAAAGATTCGAAGATATAAACCATAACGAATTAAAATATCTTTTATTAATAAAAACAAAATCAATCAATACAAAATCTAAATAAATTGTTAATGGTGCTTAAATATTTAAGTTTAAACTAAGTATTTGTTTAATTATACATTTTCATAATATTATATATTTTTATACCTAATTAAATTTAAATTATAGGGCAAACATATTTTTATAAGAGACAGGTATTTATTTAAAGAATTTTTTAGATATAAAACAAGAAAATTCAAATTTAATTTTTTATTTGTACTAATCATTTAAAAGGTTTTTTTTACATATTGCATTTTGTTTTTATAAAATAAAATTCAATTTGTAAAACTGTTTCTAATATTTTCTTAAATAAATTCCCCGAATCTTTTGCAGTGTTCCAAGAAATTAGGGCTTCCATTTCTAGTCCCTGGAGTCGGTTGGCCAATTCTGGTTTCTTCCAGTGACTGCGAGAGACTGGAGACTCGGATTTGGACTCACGACCCTGCTGCAGGACAAATGCAACACATTAAGCGGTGGGCGGTGGGTGGTGGGTGGTTAGACGGAGTGGGTGGGTCCGCGGAGGTGTGCCCAAAGTCGCAGGCAAGGCCAAGCCAAACTTCCTGACTCCTCGTGGCCATGGAGTTGCGGTCGGACCTCATCATCAGCTGGGCAAACTGATAAGGCTGACTGATTGCACGGGGCATCCCCTTTCCCTGGGAAACTGCGAATTTCCCTCTCTTTCGCCGAGATTTGCACGAACGAATCAGCTTTCTGTGCACTCGAACCTCTCTGTCTCACCGGACACGAACTCGGTCTCTTTCGCTCCCGCACTCAGGGTGGTCTGCCACGCATTTTCCCCCACCGCCTGGCGCCCCCCAATTTCCACTTGTGGGTGGTTACCTCTCGGCATTGTTGCCTTTTTTGAGTGGCTCTGATTGCCTCCCATGAAGTCGATACATGTGTAAGCAGACAGTGAAGATTGGCTAAGAGTTTTGGGATTTGACAATCAAATTAGGACTCAAAGTCCGAAAAAAATGGAAAATCCTTTTTGCTCAAATAAAATCAGAATTTTGGTCGAAGCTAGGCCAAAAATGATCCGAATATGGATTGTCATACCTCGTTGAGCTAGTAATTAAATTTCCTATCGATTGACATTTCAACCTGGAAATTTTTATTTTTTGCCATTTTTGCAAAAAAATATAAGGGGTTATCAAAACTGCGAAAATTGGTCAAAAATTTATTTTTTTTAAATAAGGCGGAAAGCGCGTTGATATTAATTATTGGGTCGTTAGCTGCCCAAAACAGTATGCCTTTTTGATTTGGGACCATTTTTGTCCAAGTTGGAAATGGAAATAATGATCCAAATATGGAATGTCATACCTCGTTGAACTCGTAATAAAATTCCCAATAGATCTGCATTTAAACCTGGAAATTTTTAATTTTTGCCATTTTTCGCAAAAAATGATGATGTAACCCCTTATCAAAAATGTGAAAATTTGGCCAATTTTTTTTTTTTTTTAAATCATTCGAAAAATGCACTGATGTTTGTTTTTAGGTTGTTAGCTGCTCAAAACAGTAAGCCTTTTTGATTTGGGACCATTTTTGTCCAAGTTACATAAAAAAGTCGATTAAATATTACTCCTTGGTTTAAGTACTTCATAGAAATTCTTTCTGATATTTTAGAGTGGTTTGTGAGCTTTAATTGTACTTTTGGATTTTCCCTGTAGGTTGGCATTGCTCTTTAGCTTTTGAGCACGACTTTATTTACGATTTCATTAATTCAATGCACGCACTGCTCGAAATCGTCTGCGTTCTATTTCTCCACCGTGAATTCCTAACTCCCTCGGCAATTTTGCCAACTTCATTTTGGGCGTGTCCCATTTGCGGGGAGGTCCTCGATGAACAGGACGAGGATAAGGACGAGAGGTCCTGGCGATGATTTGCACTTTCCTTCATTGTGCCTGTCAACAATTATAATGACACTCTTATTGTCAGCCATTCGAGACTTTCCTTTCAGCTTTCTGCTTCGCTTAATTAAACCATTTTGCAATTTCGCTAAAGTTCTGCCCTGCTGCCACGCCCCCTCCGCCGCCTGAATGGCCCTCAAAAGTCGTCGTTGTCGTTATCGTTGTCGTTGTCGCGACTTTTATGCATTTAATTAAAAATTAAATTTTTAATTGCACTCAGTCGTGGACGATTTTCTCCCTTTTCGCGTTGTTGATTTTCCTTTTATTTTTTATTGCGCTTTTTAATTAAATTGTTTGCAACACCCACAAAGTGACAGGCGACGACAGGAGATGATGATCGCGACGACGATGGATTTAGTTTTAATTTTTACTCGGCTCATGATGTTCTATCTCAATTAAAAGTCACTCAAATTGATTAGCATATTGTTCGGAGCGATGATATAATCCAGCGGTTATAAATTAGTGGTCAATTGCCAGAAAGTGGTCGAAATTGACTGATTTATGGCATTAGGAATTAAGTTAAATTTATTTTTTAGTCATTTAGCTTTTTAGTTTACTCATCATTGAATTTTTCCTTTAGTTCCAAATCACTACAACTATCCCCTTCAATTTCGCCCCATAAATGGGGAAACTCTTAGTGAAGTTACACCATTAGTGAGTATTTATTTGGTGGTTGACTCTTCGTACAAATAAAATGGATTTCATTGCGAACGTATTGCGGGCATAAAATAAAAGTAACCCCCGAGAATGCGGCAACTAAAACTACTCGAGGCTATTTTACGGATATCAAAATACGATTCACACAAATCCAGAGGGGGAAAGGGGGGGGGTCCTGAGCACCCAAACCCCTGGGCTCATGAATGCGAATGTAAATGTTGTTGGCAACGCGGTTAAAGTTGTGGTTGTCTCTCTGGTGCTTGAGTAAAAGTACAAGTTATGCGTCAAAACAACGAAAGCAGCCAAGAAGGGGTTGGGAAGGGGGTTCGAAAGGGGGTGGGGAAGAAGGAGGTTGAGGAGTCCAAGTTCGTTCCTCTAAATTGCTAGGCGAGGGCGTGGCCCAGAATCGTAAATCACTTTGAAGTGGGTCGTAGACGTCCGAGCTGCGTTCCAGACAACAAAAAGCAACAGCAGCAGCAGCAGACACTGAACCACGAACCCCGAACCCCTCTTTTTAAAGGCACTATCCTCCGGTACACCCCTGGTTTTAGCCCCCCCCTTCCCGCTTTTTTTCTCGAAGCCCCGCGGCGACAGGAAAAAGCACGCTAGGCGCTGCCAAAGCTGCTTATCCTGACACACGGTAGCCGTTAAGTGTCCAAGTCAAA